GAGGCCGTTCTGAAGGGCTCCCCGGCGCAGGAGGAGGAGGAAAAGCCCCGGAGATCCCCCAGGAGAAGGAGCTGCAAACCCATCCCGGGGAGCTCTGAGGAGGAAAAACCCGTCCTGTACCGGGAAGGCGGCCGGAGCTTCATCCGGATCCCCGACCTGCAGATCCACATCCAGTTCCACCCCAGGGAGAAGCCCTACAGGTGCTTGGAGTGCAAGCAGAGCTTCAGCAACATCTCCAACCTCTTCTACCACCAGCGTTTACACACCGGGGAGGGGCCCTAAATTGTGCTTGGGGAGAGCTCCCAACCAAGAGCTCCGGGCTTGGCACTCGGCAATCCCTGCAGGATGTGGGGAACAGCCCTGGGAGGGCTTGGGATGGGGGAAGGGCTTCAGTTGGAGCTGTGGAGGGCTTGGAATGTGGGAAGGGCTTCAGTTGGAGCTGTGGGGAACAGCCCTGGGAGGGCTTGGAATGTGGGAAGGGCTTCAGTTGGAACTCCAGCCTCATCAAGCCCCTGTGAGTGTCAGAAATGGGGGAAGGGCTTCAGTTGGAGCTGTGGGGAACAGCCCTGGGAGGGCTTGGAATGTGGGAAGGGCTTCAGCTGGAACTCCAGCCTCGTCAAACCCCTAGGAGTGTCAGAAATGTGGGAAGGGCTTCAGCTGGAGCTGTGGAGGGCTTGGAATGGGGGAAGGGCTTCAGTTGGAGCTGTGGGGAACAGCCCTAGGAGGGTTTGGAATGTGGGAAGGGCTTGGAATGTGGGAAGGGCTTCAGTTGGAGCTCCAACCTCGTCAAGCCCCTACAAGGGCTTGGAATGTGGGAAGGGCTTCAATTGGAGCTCCCACCTGACCCACCACCGGCTGATCCGCTCGGGGGAACGGCCCCACCCGTGTGGGGAATGCGGGAAGAGCTCCAGAGACCGCTCCAACCTCATCATCCACGTGGGGGAACGGCCCCACCCGTGTGGGGAACGTGGGAAGAGCTCCAGAGACCGCTCCAACCTCATCATCCACGTGGGGGAACGGCCCCATAACTGCCCTGAGATCTGCTGGGAGCTCCACACGGTGGGGAAAGGGGCAAGTCCAGGAGATTCCTGGAGCCTGCAGAGGAGAATTTCTCCTGCTCCAGCTGGTAAATGAGCCTGCCAGAGATGGGTGTGGAGCTGCTGCTCACAAACAGGGAGGGGCTGGAAGGGTTTGTGGTGGTCGAGGCCGTCTGGTGACCACGGAACGAGAGAGTTTTCGATGCTCAGGGATGCAGAGAGAGCCATCAATAAAACTTTTACCCCTGGACTTCCAGAGGGCAGGGTTTTTATTGGCCTTTTTCAGAAGGCTGGGTGGGAGGGTACCTCGGGAAACAGCCCTGGGAAACAAAAGGAGGTCCAGGAGGGGTGGAGGTGCTTCAAGAAGCGAGTCTTGAATGCACAGGAAGAGGCTGTGCCCAAAAAGCAACTTGGAAGAGTCCCAGCCTGGCTGAAGAGGGAGATTTTATAGGAAAATAGGGGAAAAAGAGCTTTTCAACTGTGGAAAAAAAGGGCTGGCTACTCATGGAGAGTTAAGGAATGTAGTTTGGTCACCTAGAAAGAAAATTAAGAGAGGCAAAGGCACAATTTGAACTCAAGTCTTGGCACTTCTGTTAGGGGATAAAAAGAAGTGTTTCTGTAAATACATCAATAGCAAAAGGAGGGGCAGGGAAAATCTCCTTGTTAGACATTGAGGGGGGAGCAGAGTCACCAAAGATGAGGGAAAGGCTGAGGTGTTTAATAACACCTTTTTTTCCTCAGTTTTCAACAGTAAGACAGGTTGTCCTCAGGACAAGTGGCTTCCCGAGCTGGTGGACAGGGACAGGAAGCCAAACAGACCCCCCTGTAATCCAGGAGGGAACAGTTTGTGACCTGCTGAGCCACCTGGATCCTCCCAGGGCCAGAGGGATCCACCCTAGGGTGATGAGGGAGCTCCTGGAAGAGCTCACCAAGCCGCTCTCCATCATTTACCAACAGCCCTGGCTCTCTGGGGAGGGCCCAGTTGATATCCCAATTTGATATTTTAATTGACAATTATTAGTAAATTTGCAGATGACACCAGGGACCTGGACAGGCTGGATCCATGGGCTGATTCCAGTGGGATGAGGTTCACCCAGGCCAAGTTGGTCCTGCCCTTTGGCCACAACAATCCCTGCAGCCCCAAAGGCTGGGTCAGAGTGGCTGAAGAGCAGCCAGGTGGGAAGGGATCAGAATTTACAGCAGCTGATCATGAGCCAGAGTGTGGAATTATTTATTTCAGGGTTTATATACCCTGTTACACCAGCTGTTATCAATCAAAATTAAAAAGAACCGGCAATCCCAGCACTGCTGTATCCATCCTAAATAGCCTGAAGCACAGAAGGCAATTAATTCATTAATTAATGAGCGAGGTGAAGGCAAGAATGGCCCTTTAACAGCTCAGTTATTGTGTGTAAATGCCTAATTGTGATGGTGCCTACTCACACCGGCTCGTTGGTTTTCCAGGTGAGTTTTAGACAGAGTTTCTTTTCAGATCGAGAGGATCATCGGGGTTTGAGTCTTGGCTTGTGGGCAGGGCTCGTTTCTCTTCGGAATCATTCTCGGCCAAGGAGGTAAATTTACCTCCTTTGCCCAAGGAGGTAAATCATTTACGTCCGTGGCTTGCCCCGAAAACACCTTTGGCCGCGCTGAAAAGTAAATCCTTAAAAGCTTTTCCATCCGACTTCTTGCCCCGGCTCCTCCCCAGTTCCCTTCCGTGCAGAGACATCCCAGGCTCCCTTTCGGGGCAACCTGCGGGCATTACTGTGTATCTTTATATACGCTGTACATCTTTAATGTCTCTTTTTAACATAAAAATAATTATTTTTATTTTTGTACGCCCCTCATTCCGGGGGTCCTTTGTGTCACACTCTGGCCCAGACCAGGCCCTTTGTGCCCCTCAGGGCGCTCAGCCCAGACCCTGAGCCCGCGCCGCGACACAAAATGGCGGCGAGGAGGCCCGCCATGATTGGCTGCCTGCCCCGTCACTCTTGTCCCCTGGCGCGCTGATTGGCGGACTCGGGGGGGGCAGTGCCCGCCCCCTCGGTGTGGCGGGCGGAGCGGCGGCAGCAGCGCTCAGACGGAGCTGGAGGCCCGCTGTGATTGGCTGCCTGCCCCGTCACTCTTGCTCCTGGCGCGCTGATTGGCGGGCTCAGGGAGCAGTGCCACCGCCCCCTCGGTGCCGCGGGCGGGCGTTGCGGCAGCGCTCCGGACGGAGCTGGAGGCCCGCCGTGATTGGCTGCCTGCCCCGTCACTCTTGCTCCTGGCGCGCTGATTGGTGGGCTCGGGGAGGCAGTGCCCGCCCCCTGGGTGTGGCGGGCGGAGCGGCGGCAGCGCCCGGACGGAGCTGGAGGCCCATCGTGATTGGCTGCCTGCCCCGTCACTCTTGTCCCCTGGCGCGCTGATTGGTGGGCTCGGGGGGCAGTGCCCGCCTTCTCGGTGTGGCGGGCGGAGCGGCGGCAGCAGCGCTCAGACGGAGCTGGAGGCCCGCTGTGATTGGCTGCCTGCCCCGTCACTCTTGCTCCTGGCGCGCTGATTGGCGGGCTCGGGGGCAGTGCCCGCCCCCTGGGTGTGGCGGGCGGAGCGGCGGCAGCAGCGCTCAGACGGAGCTGAGGCGGCGGCGGCGGAGCCGGGACGGGCCGGGCTCAGGTGGGAGCCGCGCTCGCTCTGCCGGGGATCGGGGATCGGGGCGGGAGGCGCCGCGGGAGCGGGCTCCTGACGGGTTCAGGCCCTCCCGGGCAGGGGCGGTGCCGGTGGGGAGCGGGGCCTGTCGGGCTCGGCCCGCCGTGTCCCTCCGGGGGCCGCTGAGGAGGCGGCTGCCCGCGGGCTCCTCCTCGTTGTTGTTGCCGCTGAGCCACCCGGCTCGGGCAGTCTTGGGCGTGGGTCGGGCACCTTTGCAGGGGTGGTGGTGCCTGCCCACCCCCCCCAGGCCTCACTGGGAGCTGAGAAAGGCTCCTTAGGCCCAGCCTTGAGGAACAGCCCGTGGGCTGAGCTGCTCAGAAACACTCTCTGCTCACAGGGACCGGTGCTGTCTGAGCAGCTCCTGCTGCTTTAATGAGCAGCCTGGGAAACTTTTTCTTGCCTGAAGAAGACTTGAGCACAAGTGCTGTGAGGAGAGGCTGAGGGAGCTGGGGTTGTTTAGTCTGGAGAAGAGAAGGTTTAGAGGTGACCTCATCACTCTCTTCAACCACCTGAAGGGAAGTTATAGCCAGGTGGGGGTTGGTCTCTTCTCCCAGGCAACCAACAACAGGACAAGGGGACATGGGCTCAAGCTCTGCCAGGGGAAGGTTAGGTTAGATGTTAGGAAGAAATTCTTTACAGAGAGGGTGATCAGGCATTGGAACAGCCTGCCCAGAGAGGTGGTGGATTCACCATCCCTGGAGGTTTTTAAAAAGAGATTGGACATGGCCCTTAGTACCATGATATAGTCATTAGAGTTGGATCAGGGGTTGGACTTGATGATCTTGGAGGTCTTTTCCAACCCAATCTATTCTATGATTCTATGAGAATCCTATATTTGTTCTCCAACTTTCAGAGGAAGTCCCGGACGTGACCTGGGGCCAGGATGGACAATTCCTGCCCCTCAAGCCCCACACCCAGGGGTGCTGAGTGAGACCCTCTGGGCTGGCAGCAGCTGCAGGGACTCTGCCCCAGCAGGGCCTTCCCACGGGCTCTCATCCTTCTTTTTGGGCATCCCCTGCTCCGGTGTGGGCTCCTCCTGGGGCATCTCAGCCCCGGAGCACCTCCTGCCCCTCCCTCTGCACTGCCCTGGGGGTCTGCAGAGCTGTCCCTCTCCCCTGTTCTCCCTGAGCTCTTCTCTGCACCCAATCCCACCTGCACAAGGACTTTTTCCTCCTCCAGTCCCTTCTCCCCGAGGTGTCACTGCCACCTCTGATGGGCTCGGCCTTGGCCAGGGGCAGGTCCATCCTGGAGCCAGCTGGAATTGGCTCTGCTGGACATTTGGGGGGGCAGCTTTTGGCAGCTGCTCCCAGCCCTGGATCCCCCCTGCTACCAAAACCTGGGCACACAAAGCCAAGACAGTGCCCAGCCTGGATCACTGGGATGTGCTGGTGGAATGTGCTGGTCACCAGGTCTGTACCCAACGTGGATCATGGTTGGGGCACTTGTGGGGTTTATTGTGGACACAGGACACCAAATGACCTCTGGAGATGGACTTGGGCTGGAGGAACCCCCAACCCAAAGCGCTCACACCTTGTTTTTCCCCACCCAAAAGGGTTTCTCCTTCCCAAACCTTGGGCAGATGGAGGAGAAAGCTGAGGAAGAGGAGGAAGATGCCGCGGGCGGCACCTGAGGAAGATGCTGAGGCAGGTGAGGATTTGGGGGGGATGTCCTTGGCCTTCCCTCTGGGCTGGAGGCAAATCCCCTGCCTGTCCTTCTTCCCTCCTGCCCCAGGCCCCGAGCTGAGGACGGAGAGCACGGAGGACAAATCCCCCCGGCAGAGCCTGCTGGGAGAGGTTGTTCTGAAGGAGCAGGAGGAGGAGGAAAATCCACGGAGATCCCCCAGGAGAAGGAGCTGCAAAGCCATCCCAGGGAGCTCTGAGGAGGAAAAACCCATCCTGTGCCAGGAAAGCGGCCAGAGCTCCGAGCTGGAGCTCCATGAGGATCTTCACGCCAGGGAGAAGCCCTTCAGGTGCTTGGAATGCGGGAAGAGCTTCAGCAGGAGCTCCACCCTCCTCACCCACCGGCACATCCACTCGGGGGAGCGGCCCTACACGTGTGGGGAATGTGGGAAGAGCTTCAGCCACAGGTCCAGCCTGATCCAACACCGGAACATCCACACCCGGGAGCTGCTCTACACGTGTGAGGAGTGCGGGAAGAGCTTCGGCCGGAGGTGCCACCTGCTCGGCCACCTGAGCATCCACAGCGGGGAGCGGCCCCACAGGTGTGGGGAGTGCGGGAGGAGCTTCAGGAGCAGCTCCAACCTGCTCAGCCACCGGCTCATCCACACCGGGGAGCGGCCCTACGAGTGCGGGGAGTGCGGGAAGAGCTTCAGCCAGAGCTCCACCCTCCGCACCCACCGGCGCGTCCACACCGGGGAGCGGCCCTACCGGTGTGGGGAGTGCGGGAAGAGCTTCGTCCACGCCTCCCACCTGGTCTTGCACCAGAAGATCCACACTGGGGAGCGGCCCTACAGGTGTGGGGAGTGCGGGAAGGGGTTCCAGACCAGCTCCCACCTCCTCAGGCACGAGCAGACCCACACGGGGGAGAGGCCCTTCCGCTGCGCCCACTGCGGGAAGGGATTCAACCTGAACTCCACCCTCGTCAGCCACCGGCGCATCCACACCGGGGAGAGGCCCTACGAGTGTGGGGAGTGCGGGAAGAGCTTCTTCACCAGCTCTGCCTTGGCCAAACACCAGCGGAGCCACCGGTGAGGGGAGCGCCCTGACTGCTGCTGCTCCAACTCCCTCAGCCGTGGGAGGATCCACCCTGGATGATCCACGGGGAGTGCCCCGACTGCCCCGAGTGCTGCTGCTCCAACTCCCTCAGCCATGGGAGGATCCACCCTGGATGATCCACGGGGAGTGCCCCGACTGCCCCGAGTGCTGCTGCTCCAACTCCCTCAGCCGTGGGAGGATCCACCCTGGATGATCCACGGGGAGTGCCCCGACTGCCCCGACTGCTGCTGCTCCAACTCCCTCAACCATGGGAGGACCCACCCTGGATGATCCACGGGGAGTGCCCCGACTGCTGCTGCTCCAACTCCCTCAGCCATGGGAGGATCCACCCTGGATGATCCACGGGGAGCCACGTCCCGTTAAAGACGTGGTGACTTCACATTCATAGAATCATACAATCATAGAATAGATTGGGTTGGAAAAGACCTCCAAGATCATCAAGTCCAAGCCCTGATCCAACTCTAATGACTCTATCATGGCACTAAGGGCCATGCCCAATCTCTTTTTAAAAACTTCCAGGGGTGGTGAATCCACCACCTCTGGTGATCCACATCAGGAAGACACCTGGCTGGTGGTCTCCATCCTCCTGGTTCCCTGTAGGCATCGGGGTGAGTGCCAGGGGGAGGAACATGAACCAGGACACGGACTAAGATTGGGAATTCATTGGGAAGAGCAGATTTGTTGACTTTAGACCTGTGGCAGGACATTCCCCCCTGGAATGGCCAAGCAAACAGTGCCCTATTTGCAGATGTCATCAGTGCTGAGCTGAGAGGGGGCTCCTGCTGGAATCCAGTCTGGCTTCAACCCCGAATTAACACCCTGGTGGTGAGGAGGCAGCCCCTGAGTGCAGTGACATCACTGGAAAGGTCCAGTCCCCGTTCCCAGGGGCGGGTTCTGCCAGCAGAACATTCCTGGGGTGTTTGTTTGGAGATTCCTGCCTTGCCTGGGGAGCCCCCTCAAGGTTGAGAGCAGAGACCTCCCCACCAGCGTCGGTCTGGGTGAGTTACATCGATCTCTTAATTAATAATTATTGCTTTTTTTTGCCAGTTTTAGTAGAATTCTTTCAACAATTTGGTGCAGTGCACCGTGCTATCTCATGCTGTACTGCTGGTAGTTTTAGTGTTTATATCATGTGGTAAATAATCCTGATTAAAATCTTTTGTCTGATCATCTGTAATAATGAAATCTGTATTAATAGATCTGATTTGCCCTCATTAAAACCTGCAGGACAGAAGTGGCTCAGTCACAGCTCTGGGATTCCCTAAATTCCCTAAATTGCCATAATGAACTTTAAGTGGCTCAGTCACAGCTCTGGGATTCCCTAAATTCCCTAAATTGCCATAATGAACTTTAAGTGGCTCAGTCACAGCTCTGGGATTCCCTAAATTCCATAAATTGCCAGAATGAACTTTAAGTGGCTCAGTCACAGCTCTGGGATTCCCTAAATTCCACAAATTGCCATAATGAACTTTAAGCCTCCCATTCCCCTTCACCACGGGGTGTCCCCCCCAGCCCCCTCAGCACCCCCAGAGCAGGTTGGGAGCTCAGGGAGCCACCCCAGACTTCCCTTTTCAAACCCCCCCTGTGCCCAAAGACCCCCCATGGGATTGTCCATCCTGCCAGCCAACCCCTCCTTTCCCACCCTTTCCCATCATCTCCTCAATCCCCAAAATCCCCCCCAGATCAATTTTGGGGTCACAGTCCTCGCTGTGCCTCCTCTTCCAGCCCTCACACGTCATCCCCCCAGTCCCCAACCCCCTCCTGAGCAGTTTTGGGGGTCCCACCCTCCCCTTTCCCCCCCCTCATTTCCCATTGTCTCCCAGTCCTTGTGGTCTCCTGCACCCCCCTCCATTTTTAGGGGGTCCAGCTCAGTTTTGGGGGTCCCACCACCCCTTTTATCCCCTCTGACCCCTCTTTCCCACCACTCCCCCTCTTCTTGCCCCTCCCCCCCGTCATCTGAGAGCTCCTCCCCCACAGCCAGGGGGTCCCAGCACCACCAGTGCCCCTGAAGGACCCCCCAAATTGGGGTTTGAGGGGGTCCTGGGTGGGCTCTGAATGGTTTTGGGGGGTCCTCGTGGAGCTGTGGGGTGGTTTAGAGGGGACAGTCCCACAACTAGGATTGTTACTGGAGGAAGATGGGAGGACTGGGAAGCTTTACTGGGATCACTGGGACCAGCTGGGTGATGCTGGAATAAAAGCAGGGATGGGGGTGGGGGTACACACGACACCCCCAAATTCAGCATGGGGGGAGGGGGGGGTCCCCAAGCCACGTGGGTTTCTCCCCCCACCCACCTGGGGAATTGGGACTTTTGTTTTGTTTCTTTTGAAAGTTTTCGGTTGCGCCGTTCGTTGTTTTTATTCTGATTTTGTTCGTAAAAAGCTCTTTCTTTTTGCTTTTCCACCTGAAGCTTCCTCATTTCTGAGTTGTAATCTTGTTAAAGTGAGACAGCAGAGCCAGGGACATTGCAGGGACACAGGTGAGGGGACATTGCAGGGACACAGGTGAGAGGACAGCCAGGGACACAGGTGAGGGGACATTGCAGGGACATTGCAGGGACACAGGTGAGGGGACATTGCAGGGACATTGCAGGGACACAGGTGAGGGGACAGCCAGGGACACAGGTGAGGGGACAGACAAGGACACAGGTGAGGGGACAGACAAGGACATTGCAGGGACACAGGTGAGGGGACAGACAAGGACATTGCAGGGACACAGGTGAGGGGACAGCCAGGGACACAGCCAGGGACACAGGTGAGGGGACACTGCAGGGACACAGGTGAGGGGACATTGCAGGGACATTGCAGGGACACAGGTGAGGGGACAGACAAGGACACAGGTGAGGGGACAGCCAGGGACATTGCAGGGACACAGGTGAGGGGACAGCCAGGGACACAGGTGAGGGGACAGACAAGGACACAGGTGAGGGGACAGACAAGGACATTGCAGGGACACAGGTGAGGGGACAGCCAGGGACACAGGTGAGGGGACATTGCAGGGACACAGGTGAGGGGACATTGCAGGGACACAGGTGAGGGGACATTGCAGGGACACAGGTGAGGGGACAGCCAGGGACACAGGTGAGGGGACAGCCAGGGACATTACAGGGACACAGGTGAGGGGACAGCCAGGGACACAGCCAGGGACACAGGTGAGGGGACATTGCAGGGACACAGGTGAGGGCACAGGCTGTGGCAGCAGAGCTGGCCATGGGCAGCTGGGCATGGGCAGCTGGTCCTGGGCACTGATGGGGCCGAGCAGCCTCCCAATTCCCAGCTCTGTCCTCGGGAGTGACACTGTCCCCTCCCTACAGGCCACAGGGGTGGCCCTGCACTCTCTCCCAAAAGTCTTCTGAGGGTCCTTTTGTCTGGATCCCACCCTGGGCACCCGAGGACCCCTCTGCCATCCCATCAGTCACTGAGGCAGAGTTCCCTGCCCTGCCCTTGACTGACTGCAGTCACAGCCAGGCTCTTGCACCCAGGACAGGGACGTTCCTGTCCCTGCAGGTGCCCAGGAGGAGCCAGGAGGATGTGGGGACCAACCAGCCAGGTGTCAGTGGGTCACCAAACCTGTCCCCCCAGCGTGGATCCCCCGACGGGGACGAAGCGGCAGCAGCGCCCGAAGCTCCTCCCGCCCTCGGGGCGCTCGTAGGGCTTCCCTTACCGGTGGGGCCACGTGGTCAAGGCCCAGCTCTCTGCTGGAAGCTCTTCCCACACTCCCCACGCTCTTGGGGCCTCTCCTGGTGTGGATCATCCGGTGGCAGAGCAGGTTGGACCTGGAGCTGAAGCTCTTCCCACACTCAGGGCACTTGTGGGGCCGTTCCCCAGTGTGGATGAGCCGGTGGTGGATCAGGCTGGACGTGGAGCTGAAGCTCTTCCCGCATTTCTGGCACTCGTGGGGCCGTTCCCCCGTGTGCCGGTGCTGGTGGATGTTGAGGCTGGAGCAGTCACTGAAGCTCTTCCCACACTCCCCACACGTGTGGGGCTGTTTCCCGGTGTGGATGAGCTGGTGGTGGATCAGGCTGGACCTGGAGCTGAAGCTCTTCCTGCATTTCTGGCACTCGTGGGGCCGTTCCCCCGTGTGCCAGTGCTGGTGGATGATGAGGCTGGAGCGGTCACTGAAGCTCTTCCCACACTCCCCACGCTCTTGAGGCCTCTCCCTGGTGTGGATGAGCCGGTGGTGGATCAGGCTGGACCTGGAGCTGAAGCTCTTCCCGCATTCCAAGCTCTTGTGGGGCCGTTCCCACTGTGCAGCCGCTGGTGGGTGATGAGGCTGGAGCGGTCACTGAAGCTCTTCCCACACTCAGGGCACTCGTGGGGCCTCTCCCCGGTGTGGATGAGCCGGTGGTGGAGCAGGTTGGACCTGGAGCTGAAGCTCTTCCCACATTCCAAGCACTCGTGGGGCCGTTCCACCAGTGTGCAGCTGCTGGTGGATGATGAGGTTGGAGTTCCAGCTGAAGCTCTTCCCGCATTCCAAGCACTTGTGGGGCCGTTCCCTGGTGTGGATGAGCCGGTGGTGGATCAGGTTGGATGTGGAGTTGAAGCTCTTCCCACATTCCAAGCACTTGTGGGGCCGTTCCCCCACGTGGATGATGAGGCTGGAGCGGTCACTGAAGCTCTTCCTGCACTCCCCACACGTGTGGGGCCGTTCCCCCGAGTGGATCAGCCGGTGGTGGGTCAGGTGGGAGCTCCAACTGAAGCTCTTCCCACATTCCAAGCCCTTGTAGGGGCTTGACGAGGCTGGAGCTCCAACTGAAGCCCTTCCCACATTCCAAGCCCTCCACAGCTCCAACTGAAGCCCTTCCCCCATTCCAAGCCCTCCCAGGGCTGTTCCCCACAGCTCCAACTGAAGCCCTTCCCCATTTCTGACACTTGTAGGGTCTTGACAAGGCTGGAGCTCCAACTGAAGCCCTTCCCACATTCCAAGCCGTCCTAGGGGTTTGACGAGGCTGGAGTTCCAACTGAAGCCCTTCCCCCATTCCAAGCCCTCCCAGGGCTGTTCCCCACATCCTGCAGGGATTGCCGAGTGCCAAGCCTGGAGCTCTTGGTTGGGAGCTCTCCCCAAGCACAATTTAGGGCCCCTCCCCGGTGTGTAAACGCTGGTGGTAGAAGAGGTTGGAGATGTTGCTGAAGCTCTGCTTGCACTCCAAGCACCTGTAGGGCTTCTCCCTGGGGTGGAACTGGATGTGGATCTGCAGGTCGGGGATCCGGATGAAGCTCCGGCCGCCTTCCCGGTACAGGACGGGTTTTTCCTCCTCAGAGCTCCCCGGGATGGCTTTGCAGCTCCTTCTCCTGGGGGATCTCCGGGGCTTTTCCTCCTCCTCCTGTGCCGGGGAGCCCTTCAGAACGGCCTCTCCCAGCAGGCCCTGCCGGGGGGATTTGTCCTCCGTGCTCTCCGTCCTCAGCTCGGGGCCTGGGGCGGGAGGGCAGAACAGAGGGGAAGGATAAAGCAGCAAGAAAAGCAGAAAGGAGCGAGGAGAGGAAGGAACAGGAAGAAAAAAGGAGAAGTAAAAAGGAGAGGAACGAACAAAAAAAGAGAAGGAACCGGGGGAGGAAGGAAAACGCCGAAGGAAGGAGGAGAGAGGGAAGAACAGAAGAAAGGAAAAAAGGAGCAAGGGGATGAAGGAAGACAGGAGAGGGAGGGGATTTGCCTCCCTGCAGGACAGAAGGGCAAGAAGATTCCCCCCAAATGTGGCCCTGGTGGGGTTGTCCTGCAGCCACAGGCACCACCAGACAGGGCCAAAGGGGCACTGAGTTCCTCCTCACCTGCCTGGGGGCCCCGAGGCATCTTCCTCTTCCTTGGAGCCTTCTCCTCCATCTGGCCAAGGGTTGGGAAGGAGAAATCCTGGTTTTGGGGGGGTAAAAACAAGGTGTGAGCGCTTTGGGCTGGGGGTTCCTCCTGCCCAAGTTCATCTCTAGAAGTCAACGAGCATCTTTTGTCCATAAAAAACTCCAAACCACCAAGATTCACCTCAAAAAACCCCACAAACCCATGAAGACTCTGCCTTAAAAAACCCTTTTTAAAGTTGAAGTTTCCCTTCTCTTTGGGGGTTCTCCACTTTGGGGTTCCCCCTGTCCAGGATCCTGGTGGTCCCACGCACATCGGGGGTCCCCCCGTCTGGAATCCCCCCCCTCTCCGGGCTTTTGGGGATCCCAGGAATCCCAGGATTGTCCCTTCTGCAGCCTCCCCATTTTGGGTCCCTGGGCTCTGCCCCCTCCCCGCGGTGCCGCTCAGGGATAGGGGCAGGTTTGGAGGTGCCGGGGGTCCCTTCTCCCCTCTCTCTCTCTGCTTGGAGGTTCCCAAAACCCCCCCCCTCTCTCCTGGGTCCCCCCCTCCTTGGGCTCCACTTTTGGGGACCCCCCCCCACCACGTGCTCCCCCTCCGGGCTGCCGGGGGTCCCCCCCAGCTCCGGCATCGTCCGGGGGTCCCCCCCCCAGCTCCGGCATCGTCCGGGGGTCCCCAAACCCGCTGTGTCGTGTCCGTCCGTCTGTCCCCCAACACCAACCCCAGCGCGGGGGGGACCCACCGGGAACCCACCCCGGCCCCCCCAAAAAAACCACAAAAACACCTCCCGGGCACCCCCAACAACCTCCCCCCAAAGGGGCATCTGCGGCTCAGCTTTGGGGGTCCGGCAAGAGCCAAACATTCACCCCCCCGGGAAAAACAAAACAAAACAAAACAAAACAAAACACAACGAACCGAGATTTTTGGGACGAGTTTCCTCTCGCCGCCAACGTGCGAGATGGGACCGCTGAGGGATCCTCTTCTTGTCCCTTTCCTGCTTTATCCCCTCCCCTTCCTCCTGCGCCGCCTTCTCCCGGTCCGTCCCTGCGGCCGCGGAGCTTTCGGGAGAGAGGGGGGGACAGGGGGGGAAAAGGGGGGATAGAGCGGGAAAAGAGGGGCTGGGACCCCCAAAGGGAGTCACCCCCAAAGGGAGTCACCCCCAAAGAGTCACCCCCAAAGAGTCACCCCCAAAGAGTCACCCCAAAGGGTCACCCCCAAGGGAGTCACCCCCAAAGGAGTCACCCCCAAAGGAGTCACCCCCAAAGGGTCACCCCCAAAGGAGTCACCCCAAGGGTCACCCCCAAAGAGTCACCCCCAAAGGAGTCACCCCAAAGGAGTCACCCCAAGGGAGTCACCCCCAAAGAGTCACCCCCAAAGAGTCACCCCCAAAGGGTCACCCCCACAAAGAGTCACCCCCAAAGGGTCACCCCCAAAGAGTCACCCCCAAAGGGAGTCACCCCCAAAGGGAGTCACCCCCAAAGGGAGTCACCCCCAAAGGGTCACCCCCAAAGGGAGTCACCCCCAAAGGGAGTCACCCCCAAAGGGAGTCACCCCCAAAGAGTCACCCCCAAAGGGAGTCACCCCCAAAGGGAGTCACCCCCAAAGGGAGTCACCCCGAAAGAGTCACCCCCAAAGGGAGTCACCCCCAGCCGGAGCCGGGAAGGAGCCGGGGTTTGGGGGACGATGGGAAGGCAGGAGAGGGGATAAGGGGTGGGACGGGGGAAGGGGCAGAGGGGGATAAGGGAGGGATATGGGAGGGGCGGGAGGGGATAAGGAGGATATGGGGAAGGGGCGGGAGAGGGGGATAAGGGGAGTGGGACGTGGGAAGGGGAGAGGGGGATGGGAGTGGGACATGGGGAAGGAGAGGGGGATAGGGAGGGATATGGGGAAGGGGCAGGAGAGGGGATAAGGAGGGACGTGGGAAGGGGCGGGAGAGGGGGATAAGGGAGTGGGATATGGGAAGGCGGCGAGGGGGATAAGGAGTGGGACGTGGGGAAGGGGCGGGCGAGGGGGATAAGGGGAGTGGGACGTGGGGAAGGGGCGGGCGAGGGGGGATAAGGGGAGTGGGACGTGGGGAAGGGGCGGGCGAGGGGGGATAAGGGGAGTGGGACGGTGGGAGAGGGGGATAAGGGAGTGGGACGGTGGGAGAAGGGGATAAGGAGTGGGATGGTGGGAGAGGGGGGATAAGGGGAGTGGGACGGTGGGAGAAGGGGATAAGGGGGGTCTGGGACAGCAGGAAGGGGTCCCTCGGGGTCCCTCGGGGTCCCCATCCCTCGGTCCCTGCAGAGGGGGGATCCTGGGGAGAGGGGAGCCCCCCGAGCCCCCCGTGCCGAGCCCATCGGGGCCGCGCTGTGGGTCGTGAATTCCCGCCGGGATCAACAAAGCCCCGCACGCGTGGCCGCAGCTCGGGGGGTTTCTCCTCTCGGGGGGTTTCTCCTCTCGGGGGGTTTCTCCTCTCGGGGTTTCTCCTCTCGGGGGTTCGGGGGATGGGGGTTTGGGGTTGTGTTTTTGGCGGGGAGGAGGTTTGGATCTTGCAGGTGAGCCCTGGGGGGGATGTTGGGGGTCCAGGGGGTGCCAGGGTGAAGGAAAAGGGGGATTTGGGGGGCTGGGAGAGGCGGGATGGCCGGGAAAGGGGGTGCAGGAGAAAGGGGTTAAGGGGGGTTCTGTGCCCAGGAATGGGGGCTCCAAAGGGGTCCCAGACTCCAGGAAAAAGGGGGAATGTAGGGATTAGCACTGGCCTGGGTCTGGAGGGTCCCTGTGCCCAGCAAAGGGGGGGTCCAGGGGCCTCAAAGTGTCAGGGAAAGGGGGGTTCATTGGGTGGGGGGAGCCGGGATGTGCCAGCAGGGGGTCCAGGGGTCCTGGAATCAAAGAAAGGGGGGGTTGGGAGCTGGGAGAGGCAGGACTGGGGGTTCAGGGGGTCCTGGAATCAAAGAAAGGGGGGGTTGGGAGCTGGGAGAGGCAGGACTGGGGGTCCAGGGGGTCCTGGAATCAAAGAAAGGGGGGGTTGGGAGCTGGGAGAGGCAGGACTGGGGGTCCAGAGGGTGCCAGGGTGAAGGAAAAGGGGGATCCAGGGCTGGAGAGGAGGGATGGCCTGGGAAGGGGGGACAGGGGGTCCTGGTCCTGGATAAGGGGCTGCTGGGAGGGTCTCAGTGCACAGGAATTGGGGGGTTCAGGGACCCCCTGGAACCCCCCAGGACCCCCTGCAGGAAGCACTGGGAGGGGGGAACTGGGGTGGTCCCAAGGGGAAGGAAAGGGGGGAACTGGGAGAGGCTCCAGGGGGTGCTGGGGGGAAGGAAAGGGGGGCTGGGTGGGATGAGGTGATCTGGGATGGTTGGGAATGGGGGCTGAGGAAAAGGGGGATCCAAGGGCTGGGAGAGGAGGGATGGCCGGGAAAGGTGGGGCAGGGGGGGTCCTGGAATCAAAGAAAGGGGGGGTTGGGAGCTGGGAGAGGCAGGACTGGGGGTCCAGGGTTGCCAGGGTGAAGGAAAAGGGGGATTTGGGGGTCTGGGAGAGGAGGGATGGCCGGGAAAGGGGGGGCAGGGGGGGTCCTGGAATCAAAGAAAGGGGGGGTCTGGGAGCTGGAAAATTGGGAATGGCCAAGCAGGGAATCCCAGTGCCTGGGAAAAGGGGAGTGCAGGGGGATCCCAGTCTCCCTCAGCAGCCTGCCACACACTCCCAGTTGCCCCCAGTGTAGACCCAGGCACTCCCAGTTGCCCCCAGTGTAGACCCAGTCACTCCCAGTTGCCCCCAGTGTAGACCCAGTCACTCCCAGTTGCCCCCAGTGTAGACCCAGGCACTCCCAGTTGGTCCCAGTGTAGACCCAGTCACTCCCAGTTGCCCCCAGTGTAGACCCAGGCACTCCCAGTTGGTCCCAGTGTAGACCCAGTCACTCCCAGTTGCCCCCAGTGTAGACCCAGGCACTCCCAGTTGCCCCCAGTGTAGACCCAGGCACTCCCAGTTGGTCCCAGTGTAGACCCAGGCACTCCCAGTTGCCCCCAGTGTAGACCCAGGCACTCCCAGTTGGTCCCAGTGTAGACCCAGTCACTCCCAGTTGCCCCCAGTGTAGACCCAGTCACTCCCAGTTGCCCCCAGTGTAGACCCAGTCACTCCCAGTTGCCCCCAGTGTAGACCCAGGCACTCCCAGTTGCCCCCAGTGTAGACCCAGGCACTCCCAGTTGGTCCCAGTGTGCTCCCACTCACCACTGTGTCACTATAGACACTCCCAGTTTCTCCCAGTACGATTCCAGCTGCCCCAGCTGTGGTCCCAGTCCCCCCAGCATGGTTCCAGTATCTTCCAGTTGATGCCAGTTTGCTCCCAGCATGGGGCCATGAAACTCCCAGTATCCCCCCCAGTGAGGTTCCATTCACACCCACTGTAATCCCAGTTGCTCCCAGTATGGTCCCAGTCACCTCCAGGACGATCCCAGTCACTTCCTGCCATTCCCAAAATGAACCCAGTATCCTGCCAGTTCCTTCCAGTCACTCCCAGTATGATCCCAGTTCCCTCCAGTGTAATTCCACTCGCTCCCAGTATCAAACCAGTCACTTCCAGTGTGATGCCATTTACTCCCAGCATGGTCCCAGTTCCTCCCACTCAGCCCCAGTACGATGCCAGTCACTCCCAGATACTCCCAGTCTTATTCCAGTCACTGGTTCCAGTCACCCCCAGTATATCCCAGTCTCCCCCAGTATGCTCCCAGTCACTCCCAGTTGTAGCAGTGGCATTAATACAATAAATACAATAAATTAATACAATAAATTAATAATTAAATACAATAATTAAAGGGTCCCTGGGGCCAAAGAAAGACCCCAACATTGTGTTAAAAATTAATAATTTATTGAAGACAAGAGCTGACGTAGGAGCTTCAAATGGTGAGACGTCACAGCTCACGTGACCTTTTCCGGCCAATCCCGTGCCATCGTCCAACTGCGCATGTGCGGTGGAGTCCTTTAAGAACTACAACTCCCAGCATGCTTTGCCACCACCCAGCCTGGAACCGGAAACCCCCGCTCCCAGTTCCTCCCAGTTCCTCCCAGTCACTCCCAGCATGATCCCAGTTGCTCGCAGCCGCTCCCAGTCACCCTCGCTGTGGTCCCAGTCACTCCCAGTTTGACTCAGTCACCTCGAGCATTGTTTCAGTTGCTCCCAGTATATCCCAGCTGCCCCCACCGTGGTCCCAGTTGCCCCCAGCCTGCTCTTTGTACAATCCCAGTCGCTCCCAGTATGATCCCAGTTGCCCCCGCCATGGTCCCATTTGCTCCCTGTTGCTCGCAGTGTGGTCCCAGTTGCCCCTGGCACAGTCCCAGTATCATCCCAGTCATTCCCAGTACGGTCCCAGTCGTCCCCAGCACGGTCCCAGTCATTCCCAGTATGGTCCCAGTCATTCCCAGTATGGTCCCAGTCATCCCCAGCATGGTCCCAGTCATTCCCAGTATGGTCCCAGTCATCCCCAGTACGGTCCCAGTCATTCCCAGTATGGTCCCAGTCGTTCCCAGAATGGTCCCAGTTGTCCCCAGTATGGTCCCAGTTGTGCCCAGCACGGTCCCAGTCATTCCCAGCATGGTCCCAGTCATTCCCAGTATGGTCCCAGTTGTCCCCAGCATGGTCCCAGTCCTTCCCAGTGACTCCCAGTTGTCCCCAGCATGGTCCCAGTCCTTCCCAGTATGGTCCCAGTCATCCCCAGCACTGTCCCAGTCATCCCCAGTATGGTCCCAGTCATCCCCAGCACTGTCCCAGTCATCCCCAGTATGGTCCCAGTCCTTCCCAGTATGGATCCAGACAGTCCCAGTCTCTCCCAGTCCGATCTCAGGATGATCCCAGTGTGTCCCAGTCTGATCTCAGGGTGATCCCAGTATGGCCCAGTCTCTCCCAGTCCGATCCCAGTGTGTCCCAGTCTCTCCCAGTACGATCTCAGGATGATCCCAGTGTAACCCAGTCTCTCCCAGTCTGATCTCAGGATGATCCCAGTGTGTCCCAGTCTCTCCCAGTACGATCTCAGGGTGATCCCAGTGTGTCCCAGTCTCTCCCAGTCTGATCTCAGGATGATCCCAGTGTGGCCCAGTCCAATCTCAGGATGATCCCAGTATAACCCAGTCTCTCCCAGTTATAGGTAACATCTACACCCTCCAGCTCCACGCTTGGAACGCCCCCTTGGGTTTTTCTTTGGGGGGGCTGTAAGTGAGGATATCAAAACATAAAGCAGTGATAAAAGATTGTAGCCTCATTTGCATATTAGCTCATTTTTAGACAGAATTAGGACAGGGCCTTGCTTGTTTCTGCCAACTCACAGACAGGATGGAGTTAATTTTATAATGAAGATTTTAGGAGGAACAGAAAACCTTTAGAGTTTAGATAAGGGGCTTTTAAGCTCATGGCAAAGAGACCTTGAAAGCTGATAAAGAAAAGCTCCTGGAGAAGACACCAGTTGTGAGTTAACTGGACAGTGCCAACCCAGCGATTCTCAGCAAAAAGGTGGAAAGTTCAAGCTGAGGAAGATTCCTGACTTCACCCAAAACACCCCCAAAGACCCCCGAAAGAAAACCCCAAGGTGGAATTACAGGAGTGGTGAATGGTAACGATTTCCCCTCCCGCTTTTTTTTTGGGGAATTTGCTGACACAGCTCAGGCAGATGGAACACAACCAATGTGTATCTAACACAACCAACGTGTATCTGACACAACCAACGTGTATCTAACACAACCAACGTGTATCTAACACAACCAACGTGTATCTAACACAACAAGTGTGTATCTAACACAACCAACGTGTATCTGACACAACAAGTGTGTATCTAACACAACCAATGTCTATCTAACACAACCAACGTGTATCTAACACAACCAACATGTATCTGACACAACCAATGTGTATCTAACACAACCAATGTGTATCTAACACAACCAATGTGTATCTAACACAACCAATGTGTATCTAACACAACCAACGTGTATCTAACACAACCAACGTGTATCTAACACAACCAACGTGTATCTAACACAACCAACGTGTATCTAACACAACCAACGTGTATCTAACACAACCAACGTGTATCTAACACAACCAATGTGTATCTAACACAACCAATGTGTATCTAACACAACCAATGTGTATCTAACACAACCAACGTGTATCTAACACAGCTCAGGCAGATGGAACACAACCAACGTGTATCTAACACAACCAATGTGTATCTAACACAACCAACGTGTATCTAACACAACCAACGTGTATCTAACACAACCAATGTGTATCTAACACAACCAACGTGTATCTAACACAACCAATGTGTATCTAACACAACCAACGTGTATCTAACACAATCAATGTGTATCTAACACAGCTCACGCATTTCCAACGTCACACTGAGGAAAAAGAGCTGAACGAAGGTAATGGGAGTGCGTGATCGGAGTGTAATAAGGAGTAGCAGTTAAATTTACTCATCAAATTAGTAATAGTGGCTTACTCATTAAACTGTAGTGCATGTTATATTCTTATATACATATGTCATTATAATCACTGTTCTGTTAAGAAACTGTAAGTTGTAGAATGGTTCATTAATCTATCAGCACTGTAAGCTGATAAAAGCATGAAGTTTGCAGTTCTAAAGCTAGAAGGACAAACCATTGTGCCTTGTTGAGTAAATATTTTTGTCTCTTATTTTTCTAAAAAGCTTATTGTCTCACAACACGCCTAAAGTAAGGAAAGAAAGGACAAGGATTGAAGAGTGAGGGACTGAAATATCCAAGATCCACGCCAGGCCTCAAGGTCTGGGGACTGATTGGAACCATGGGAGGAGAAAGCACCTGGCAACCACAGCGAGAATGCACAGAGGCCAACCAGAATCAGACCTGCAAGGCTCAGATCCGATAGAAAAACAACAAGTGACAATGGGAGGGAAACCGATAATGGAATAAATGTTTTTGTTCACTGTGCTTGCCGTGAGTGGAGCAGGAGGCTCCCCGGCCGCCCAGCGCGATGTTTTGCTCATTTGCTTATTTTCTATAAATCTTCCATAAATTTTTATTGCCGTATTTCGACTCCGTTTCATTCTGTTTGTAACAGGAGGAATCACCCCCCACGCCCCGGTGAATTAATTAAACACACCTGGCTGCGACGCTCCTGGCGGGTTCGGGCCTTTGTTCCCTCAATCACGGCCACAACAACCGAGGGGCATCAGCACAAAGTCCAGCTGGAGGCTGGAGAGCAGAGCCAACAGTGCGCCGGGGGGGCTGTGGGTGGGTCACGGGGGATCTCCAAAATCCCCCGTGCCTCGAAAAGCCCCGAAAGGCCACAAATTAACCCAAAATTCACCGCCCCCCCCACCTCGCCTCAGGCCACCGCTTGCCGCCTGCGCCGCCTCCCATTGGTCGTTGGAGCTGCCTGTCATCTCTAGCAGCCAATCAGCGGCCGGGAAAGGACGGGGGGGCGGTACTTTGCACCGCGCCATTTTAGCCGCTTCTCGGACTGAAACTCCCGTCCTGCCCCGCGGGCCCTTTGAGCTCGTTCAGTGTCCCCTCAGTGCCCCCCGTGTGCTTCTCTCGGACCCCAAAATGCACCCCCCGAGCTCCGAATGCCCCCCAGGTGCCTCCCTGGGCCGCCGGTGCCCCTCACTCCCAACCCCGCAGAGCCATTGGACCACTCCGGGACTACAACTCCCGTCGTGCCCCGCGGCTCCGCAGAGCCAATCCCAGCCCTGCCTGCACTTCCCAGGATGCTCCGCGGCCGCCCAGACCCGATCCAGGCGGGGCTGCGGTCCCTGAGGGGTGTCCGGGATTCCTCAGAGCTGTGAGGGATCCTTCAGAGCTGTCCGGGATCCCTGAGGGGTGTCCGGGATCCCCCAGAGCTGCCCTGGATCCCTCAGAGCTGTCCGGGATCCCTCAGAGCTGTCCGGGATCCCTCAGAGCTGTCCGGGATCCCTCAGAGCTGTCCGGGATCCCTCAGAGCTGTGAGGGATTCCCCAGAGATGTCCGGGATCCCTCAGAGCTGTCCGGGATCCTTGATAGCTGTCCTGGATCCCCCAGAGCTGTCCGGGATCCCCCAGAGCTGTCCGGGATCCCTCAGAGCTGTCCGGGATCCCTGAGAGCTGTCCTGGATCCCCCAGAGCTGTCCTGGATCCCAGAGCTGTCCGGGATCCCTCAGAGCTGTCCGGGATCCCTGAGAGCTGTCCTGGATCCTTGATAGCTGTCCGGGATCCCCCAGAGCTGTCCTGGATCCCCCAGAGCTGTCCGGGATCCCTCAGAGCTGTCCGGGATCCCTCAGAGCTGTCCGGGATTCCCCAGAGCCGTCCGGGATCCCCCAGAGCTGTCCTGGATCCCTCAGAGCTGTCCGGGATCCCTCAGAGCTGTTCTGGATCCCTCAGAGCTGTCCGGGATCCCTCAGAGCCGTCCTGGATCCCTCAGAGCCCCCCCAGACCCCGACGGGCCCCCGGACGTCCTGCTTGGGACTGAGCGACCCCCCTGTCCCACAGAGCAGGAAAATGAAAATGTAAATTCTGGGACTGCAGCTCCGGTCCCGCCGCGGGGCACGGAGAGGCCCTTCCAGCAACTCCCACAGAGCCCGCCTACAACTCCCATCAGCCCCGCGCCCCA